AATGGTACCTGTTAGGAGTGAAATTCAGTTTGGAGAAGGCCCTATATCAAGAAACCCATTGGCATCAGCCCAGAGTAGAGACTGTATTTTCCTTTGGCTTGGGCATGGTCCCCCCACCCGCTTCGAGTGGTAAGTGCTTCATTTTTCTTTGGAAGAAAATAGTCTCAGCACAGGCGGTGTTTGATGCTATGCTCATTTGAACTGGTTGGTTCAGGAAACAGATGCATCCTTTCGGTCTCAGCACAAATTGTTGGGGTTTCTTTTTTCTGGTTTCACCAAAGCCAGATCTATGTCTCTATCAGCACAGAGGAAAAAAGTAATTACTGAAGTATTAGTGTGATTATTATTTCCTGATACGAATTGCTGCATTCCTTACTTGTATCTGGTCCTCTCCCTGGGCTGGAGCTAGAAAATTTAAAAAACAAACTCTTCTTGGACAAAGCCTGTATTGATTATTTTTTAATCCTGTCTGTGTTGGAGAACTCTGAGAATTTAATGAAAGAGAAAAACCGTCTCCTTGAAGAATTCATATTTTCTCACACCTACAAAATGGAACATGATTTCAAGAGATTCACAAACCTCTTGAAGCCCCTGAGGACCCTTGAGGAATCTGTACATCGTGGTCAAGAACCTTGGTCTATACAGTTAAAAACGAAATGGAAGAACTGCTTGCTGAAATTGGACAGTGACAGTTGTCTACTAATTCTGGCAGTACTTCTTGGGAGGTCGGAATAAACTTGAATTGCATTTACCATACAGTTGCTCGAGTCTCTGCTAATGCATTGATTCAGTGGGGGGATCTCAGCCTTCCCAATGCCCCCAACTCCATGCCAACCCGAACACCAGGGAAGGATCCAGAGAGAATAGAAAGAGGAGCTGGAAATCATTTGAGACTTTTTATATTCTGAAGTTAAGTCCCTGGCCCTGGAGTTAGAAGAAGACCTGAGTTTTAATATTATCTCTACTTCTCACTTGTGTAATCTTGTCCAGTGATTAAAATTTTTCCAGTATCCACTTCCTCATCTGTAAAATGGGGATAATTTTTTTTAAGGATTTTATTTATTCATTTGACAGACAGAGATCACAAGCAGGCAGAGAGGCAGGCAGAGAGAGGAGGAAGCAGGCTCTCTGCTGAGCAGAGAGCCCAATGTGAGGCTCGATCCCAGGACCCTGGGATCATGACCTGAGCCAAAGGCAGAGGCTTTAACCCACTGAGCCACCCAGGCGAATGGGGATAATTTTAATACCCACTTCTCAGGGCTGTTGTGAGATATGAGTGTGAAAGTATTTGTCAGACATCTGGCTCATAGATGATGCCTGATAAATGTTAACTGAATTTCTGTTCTCTGAGAGCAGAGTAAAACCTTTTAGAGAACCGCAGTCTTGCAAAAATTAGGGTGGGGGGGTCTCCAGTTTCTAATTGCAGCATGTAAGGAGCTTAGAAATTGCCCTTCAGTCCTAACAAGTAAAAAGCTAAACAAACTGAGAAATCAACAACTTTTCTTAGCTCTGTCAATGAAACGAGGTCACAGAGCAAACGACTATTTCCAGAACTGGGATAACAGGTGGATACAGAGAATCACAACTTACAGGAGCAGAGACTGCCCTGGGAAGCAGGTCCACCCACAGGAGAAACACCTGAGCTGTAACAGACCTATTGCTGGAGGCGCAGGGTGGTCAACTCTGAGAGTTAAAAACTCCAGGGGACCCATTCATGGGGTGGGGGAGGTGCTGTTTTTGTGAGTTTTCCCTTTGGGGGCTCTAGCAGATCCCCACAGTAGGTATTGGAGAAAAACACTCCTACTTTTGGCAGGTGGAGGGAGGAAAGGAGCCATTTTGAAATATGTCAGAGCATTCTGTGGTTCTTAACAGTCCTTAACTTACCAGAACTTAACTCACTGGGTTTTATTTACTTATTTTTTTAAAGATTATTTATTTATTTATTTGACACCGAGAGAGATCACAAGTAGGGTGAGAGGCAGGCAGGGCGGTGGGGGAAGCAGGCTCTCCTCTGAGCAGAGAGCTGCATGTGGGGCTCAATCCCAGGGCTCCAAGACCACTACCTGAGCTGAAGGCAGAGGCTTAACCCCACTGAACCACCCAGGCACCCCAACCCACTGGGGTTTTATCAGCGCCTAACCTGCCTGGGGGAAGGGAAATATAAAATTCTAGCCCTTCCAGCTATCCTGTTCCACCTAAGGTGGGGGCAGGAGCTGAGAAGCACTGGGGAAGCTCACAGTTCAGGGGCACCTGCTCACCCACAGACTGAGACCTAACGGTAGCATACAGACCATATCCCTGACACCTACACCTTACCGCCACCCTCTACTAAAGGCTTGTTTATTGCAGTTCCTTTTATACAGTGCAGCGTGCCTGCCTTTCGACAACAACAAAAATTACAAGCATACTAAACGGGCAAAAAGCACAGTTTGAAGAGACTGGACAAGCGTCAGAACCAGAAGCAGATATGGTAGGAATGTTGGAATTATCAGACCAGGGATTTTTAAAAGCTATGATTGATATGCCAAGGGCTTTAATGGAAAAAGTTTACAACATGCAAGAACAGACAGATAATGTAAACAGAAATAAAAATTCTAAGAATGAAATGAAATGCCAGCCATAAAGAAAACACTGTAACAGCAATGAAGAAGGTCTCCGATGGGCTCATTAGTACACAGGACACGGCTGAGGAAAAAAACCTCGGAGCCTGAGGATATGACAGTAGAAACTCCCAAAACTGAAAAGCAGAGAGACCAAAAAAATAGGAAAAACAAAAACAAAAACCCAGAATAGAATATTCAAGAACTGTGGGACAATTACGAAAGGTTTAACTTACATGTAATGGGACTATTAGAAGGAACATAGAAAAAGGAACAGAAGCACTGTTTACAGCAATGATGATTGAGAATTTCCCTAAATTCATGTCAGACCCCAAATCCCAGGAAGCTCAGAGAACACAAAACAGGCTAAATGACCAAAAGAACTACACCTAGCTATATGATATTCAAACATCAGAAAATCAAAGATAAAGAAAAAATCTTGAAAGAAGTCAGAAGGGAAACAAAACAAAACTCTTATTTATAAGAGGAACAAAGGTAAAAACTATGTCTGAATTCTCAGAATCCATGCAAGCAAGAAGAGTGAAGTATTTAAACTGTTGAGAGAGGGGCGCCTGCGTGGTTCAGTTGGTTAAGTGACTGCTCTTGGTTTCAGCTCAGGTCAGGATCTCAGGATCCAGGGATATAGGTGAACTCAGCAACACCATCAATCAAATGGATATAACTGATATCTTTAGACTGCTTCACACAACCATAGATAGCATGTTCTTCTCAAACTCACACGGAACACTCACCAAAATAGACCACATTCCGGGTCATAAAACACAACAAATTCAACAGAATGCAAATCACACAACGTCTACTTGCAGACTATAACACACTTCTAAATAACAAAGAAATCTCAAGAGAAATTAAAAAATATTTTGAGCTAAATGAAAATAAGACCTCAACTTATCAAAATTTGCGGGATGCAGAGAAAGCGGTGTTCAGAGGGAAATTTATAGCATTGAATGCCTATGTTAGAAAAGAAGAAAGATCTAAAATTGATAAAGAGCAGCCTCACAAAGATACACAGATGGCAAGTAAGCATTCAAAAAGATACTTAGTAACATATGCCATTAGGGAACTATAAATTAAAATAACAATGAGGTAGTACCACACGCCTATTAGAAGGATCAAAATCCCCAACACTGACAGCAGCCAGTTTGCATTTTCTTACAAAGCTAAACATACTTTTTTACTGTAGGATCCACAGTCTTGCTCCACAGTATTTACCCAAATGAACTGAAGACTTAAGTCCACACTAGAACCTGCCCATGGATGTTTCTTTTTTTCTTTTTTATTTTTTTAGAAGATTTTATTTATTTATTTGACAGAGATCACAAGTAGGCAGAGAGGCAGGCAGAGAGAGAGGAAGAAGCAGGCTTCCTGCTGAGCAGAGAGAGCGATGCGGGGCTCCATCCCAGGACCCTGGGATCATGACCTGAGCTGAAGGCAGAGGCTTTAACCCACTGAGCCACCCAGGCGCCCCGCCCCATGGATGTTTCTAATCGCTTTTTCATAATATTCAGAACATGGAAGCAACCAAGATGTCCTTCAGTAGGTGAATGGGTCAATCAGCTATGGTGAATTTAGACAATGGAATGTTTCACTTCTAAAAAGAGACGAGCCATCAAGCCGTGACAAGACATGGAGGGGATTTAAATGCACATTACTAGGTAAAAGAAGTCAACCTGAAAAGGCTACCTACTGTATGATTCCAATGCCATGACATTCTGGAAAAGGCAAAACTTTGGAGACAGTAGAAAGATGAAGGATTGTTAGGGGTTAGTGGGGAGGGGGATAAATAGGCAGAACACAAAGAATTTTTAAGGTTGCAACTATCTGCACAGTCCCGCAATGGAGGATACATGTCACTATAGATCTGTCCATACTCCGACAGCGCAACACCAAGAGTGAGCCCAAAGGAAAGTATGGACTTTGGGCGATGATGGGTCGATGTTGGTTCATGGATTGTAGCAAATGTACTGCAATGCTGGGGGATGTTGATAATGGAGGAAGTTATGCTTGTGTGACAACAGGGGTATATGGGAACTCTGTACTTTCCATTCAATTGTGCTGTGAACCTAAAACTGCTCTAAGAAGTAGAAGTTATTGATTAAAAAGGGAAAAAAAATCATGATACAGTTCTATTTCCACAAGTAATTTAAACTAGGAGCAATATGTAATACATAAACCTAAGGGGAAATATTTTTTCCTATGATGGCATCAGAGCTTTTTTAAAAAAACACACTCTTCCTCTCTTATTTTGTGTGTGCGTGCGCGTGCAGTGTGTGCCTGGCTGGCTGGCTGGTGTCCTAGGAACATGCTTCATCTTCCAACTGGGTAGCCAGCACTGAATTTCCCAAGCACACGTGTCATAACCAAGGTCATAACCAAGGAAGTCAGGTGAGAAGAGTCCTTTGGCGGTGGCATCATAGTCAGGTTCATAGGCACTAGAACAGGGTCCTCATCAGGATTCCTGCCCATAGGGTATTTTGCATCATAGTCAGGTTCATAGGCACTAGAACAGGGTCCTCATCAGGATTCCTGCCCATAGGGTATTTTCTTGGCCAGGCTGCACCTTCTCTCTCCCTGCATCCTTGTAGCTGCTGTGTCAGTGGATAGAAAGTTCTTATGCATCCCACGTAGCTAGCCCATTGGAGGGATGGGTCACCGCATGCCTCAGGTGTTTTTCTCTTTCTAAAGCAGAACTGAGATTTCACCTGAGCAGTCAGTTCTAGTGACCACAGAACTTTCATTTCCCTTTTATTGTAGGGAGAAAGTTCTGAACACTACGATTTCACCACGAGAAGCTGGGTGCTGGGTGGGGCTTGGTTCACACCTGTGGTTCCTAACCAGCAGAGCACTGGAATCGCCTGAGGGGAACTTAGTCCTCGGCGGATGCTTAGCCTCCACCCAGATGGGTGAGCGTGGAGGGTAATTTCTCATTTTTTTTTTTTTTAATGTAATCTCTTTGCCCAGTGTATGGCTCCAACTCATAAGCCTGAGATCAAGTGTCACAAGCTCTACCAATGGAGACAGGCAGGTGCCCCTCATTTTTATTTTATTTTATTTTATTTTTTAAGATTTTATTCATGTGAGAGAGAGAGAGCACACGTGAGCAGGGGGAGGGGCAAAAGGGGAGGGAGGAAGAGAATCTCAAGCAGACTCTGTACTGAGCACAAAGCCCAACCTTGGGCTCCATCTCACGACCCCGAGATCACGACCTCAGCTAAAATCAAGAGTCAGATGCTTAACTTACTGAGCCACCAAGGCGCCCCTTATTTTTAGTTTTAAATCACTGCTTTTATTTCTTCTGGTTTTATTGAGATATAACTGACATACAGCACTGTATTCAAGTTTACAGCATAGTGATCTGACTTACATATTAATTGAAATGATTACCACAATAAGTTTAGGTAACAACTCTTATCTCATATAGATACAAATATATACATATATATACATATATATTCTCCCTTGTGATGAGGACTCTTGGGATTTGCCCCCTTAACTTTCGTATATAGCGTACAGCAGTGTTAACTATGGTCATCCTGTTGTATGTTACATCCCCGGTACTTATTTATCTTATAACTACAAGTTTGTGCCTTTTGACCACCTTCATCTTGTCTCCCCTCCCCGACCCCCCATAACCTCATTTCTTTTTCTATGAATTTGGTTTTTTCCTTTTCTTTAGGTTCCACGTATAAGTGGGATCATTCAGTATTTGTTTATCTTTGTCTGACTTATTTCATTTAGCATAATGTTGCAAGCGGCATGATTTCCTCATTTAAAAAAAAGATTTATTTATTTATTTTCAAAGATTTTATGTATTTATTTGAGAGAGGGAGCGAGCGCACAAGCAGAGGGAGTAGCAGAGGGAGAGGGAGAAGCAGGCTCCCGGCTGAGCAGAGAGCCAATGTGGGGCTCAATCCCAGGACCCTGGGATCATGACCTGAGCTGAAGGCAGATGTTTAATGACTGAGACACTCAGGGGAGCGCCCCCTCCAGCCGCCATGTCTAAGATTTTTAAATAAGCTCTTCTCTGGGTTGACCTTTCTCTCTTTTTGCAGGAGGGGGTGCAGAAGAGGGGGAAATTGTAGAAGTTCCTCCTCATTGGCCTTCATGGATCTGAGATGTACAAATAACGTGGAACAAGATGGTAGGAAGTAAAACGTACTTAACTATGGGCCAAACTCGGGGATGTTGTTAGGAAAGACCAGCGCCCACTTTTGGCACATCTTTATTGATGAGAATGATCTGAATGAGGCACTGGGACCTCTGGACATCAAAAGAAGCTCAGATTTTTTTTTTTTTTGTATTTCTTGATAAATGGAAATACAAAGAAGGCCTAAAGCAGTGTGATACAAGTGTGGCATATTTAAAATGTTTGGATTTAATAAATGAATATTTTTACCCCAAAAAGGAAAATTAGATTTATAATGTTATTCACAGATTATGATGAAGTTCTAAAGCTGATTCAAAGTAGACTCTATGTGACATGGTCCAGTATTGGCTGCCATCCTCCAGCACTGCCCAGGGACTCCAGGGGTAAGGTTTTTTTTTTAAAGATTTTATTTATTTATTTGACAGAGAGAGAGATCACAAGTAGGCAGAGAGGCAGGCAGAGAGAGAAGAGGAAGCAGGCTCCCCGCTGAGCAGAGAGCCCAATATGGGGCTCGATCCCAGGACCCTGAGATCATGATCTGAGCCAAAGGCAGAGGTTTAACTCACTGAGCCACCCAGGTGCCCCACGGGTAAGTTCTTCTTTAGATGATGTCGAAAGTCTGAGTATGAGGTCTTTGTCACTGTGAATTTAATCAACAAATTGAGTTAAATGTCTCCCCTTTTCTCCCCGAAACCATATCAAGTCTCAGATATGATCAGAGACCACTGTTGACTCCATAAGTGGGACGACTCCCTGATGCTCAGATCTCTTCCTTAGAAGTTGTGGGACTTTGGAGAAAACACAAACTTTCCTCCTCTCAGCCTCCTTATTTGTAGTGTGGAGATTGTCAAACCTCTCTGCCTACTCCAGGATGATTATGACACTCGGATGGACTGTAATGCATCAACAGAAAGAAGCTCTCATTGGTACTATACTAGAATTGCAGAGACACTGTAGGAGTTAAACACTGAAGCTCTTTAGTGGGAGAGATGGTGCTTAGTCACCATCAAACGTTAGCACCTGCCCCGTGTTGGCGCTCAGAATAAATTTATTGACTTTACAAATGACATAGATAAACTATTTCCTTCTTTCAAATCAGTGTGGTGTTATTTGAATAGACTGGAGCAGTAGAAGCCCACAGTGAAACAGTGACTTGAAAAATGGAACATGAGCCACTTAATTTTTGGAATTTAGCTGCATTTGGGGAGTGTTTCTGGAGCAACTTGCCTAAACAGCTTTGGACTTGGAGAAAAGACTTGCATCAGGATATTACATACACATTTCCAGCTCCGCTCAGATATATTGGAAGTGTTCCATAATTGAGGGAGGGTTTTCCCTCAGGCCTTTAAAAATTTCTCATCAGTAATATCCTCATCGCAAGAGAATCCTAAGCCATCTGACCGAGTACCCCTGGGACAGTCACTTGTTTCAACACCGATCTCGTGGTTGGATGTGACCGTGTGCACAGACTCCCCAGACTCACAATACCAGCTTGTTAAGCAAGTCAAGGGTTTCTTTGGTGTTTTACAGATGTGTCATTGCCCAAAGAGACTAAAGATAACAGTCTATTATGAGTACTACCGATGCCAATAAAAAGAAAATGAAGCCAAAACCTTAGTTTCATTATATCCTAAGTCAGATGCAATAGTTTCGTTTGTCTTTCTATTTTGGAGGCAGCATTGAACAGTGGAAAGAACAGGGCTTTGGAGCCAGCCAGACCTGAGTTAAAATCATGATGACAGCATGTTAGAGAACAGTGGCCTTGTGTGGTTGACTTACTCTCAGTTGTACATTTTGAGGTTGTCGTGAGAGTAAGACAAGTCCGTGGAAATGAAGGCACCTAGCACAGTGCTGCTGGCACCCACTCTTGGGTGGGAGTGGAGGAAACTTCTAAGAGATGGGGGTTGTTGTGGGCTGAGGGGCGTCCCCCGCAAGAATCCACTACAGTGGGCTTCTTTCAGGGCTTTGCAGTTTTTTTTTTAAAGGTCTTATTTATTTATTTATTTATTTATTAAAGATTTTTATTTTATTTGACAGAGATCACAAGTAGGCAGAGAGTCAGGCACAGAGAGAGGGGGAAGCAGGCTCCCCACTGAGCAGGGAGCCCGATGTGGGGCTCGATCCCAGGACCCTCAGATCATGACCTGAGCTGAAGGCAGAGTCTTAACCCACTGAGCCACCCAGGCGCACAGGGCTTTGCATTTTGCTTATCATATTCAGGGTCAATGAGAACTCTCTTGGCTGACAGAAGATGATCAGGGTGGGGTGGGCGTGGTGGGGAGGGGGGATGTTCTTAGGCAAACTTGAAAGAATGACCAAAGACTAGTGGGCAGGAAAAGAGGTGTGGGTGACCAGACTGTGCCAGGGAAAGGAGCCACCACCAGTGATCAATGATCCCTTTATTAATTCCCTAGTAATGTTCCCCTCCATTAGCTTCTATGATAAGGATTTGTCTTTAGTGAATGTAATGCAGTCGCTTTTGCAGCAATTTGAGAATATGGTGTACTGGTTGGGAGAGTTGGCTTTAGGATTAGGCTACCTATTAGGCAGGTTACTTGGCTTCTCTGAGTCTTAGCTTCCTTATTCCTGAGGGTAATAGCATTTATTCTATACCCTCTGTGTCATTGCCTTGCCTCATGGCTCCTGTCTGCTCATTGTGGCAGCTCACTCATGGTCTTCAAAGGTAATCACTGAGGTCTCTTGGTAGAACTGTTTGTTTTAGACACTCTAGAAGCTGCTGGCCAGCTTATGGTTGCCTGCCCACCTCTGGTCTAATCAGCATGGTCAGCAGCTATGATTACATAAAGTAACTTAGAGGTGGCTGCTTAGCCAAAGACTATGGACAGAGCCATTTCTCATAGAAGATCGTGGGTGTGATTGGTGTTCAGGATGCAGAGATAAGACGGAGAGCTTTAATGCAAGGTAGACAGTGGTAATGGCAACAAAAGAAATACTGTTAAAGAGCTTCATAAGTTCAAAAGAGAAAGAACTTGCTTTGTAGCTAGGGGAGTAAAGGAAATTCTTCATGAAAGAAAAGGCCTCTAAAGTGTCTGTTACCTTAGGTAAGTTAGGGCTCATACCTGAACTTGAAGGTCTCACCCAAACCTCATGACTGGGAAATTCGGGGGGCTCATCCAATGAACCCATCCCATCCCCTGGCCACAAGCATTGATTCAAGGATGGTATATGACAAAAGTCAAGCCAGTCAGTGACAGTGAGATCTACCAGGAAGCAGAGGTTCCTCTTCTCTGCTGAATTTGAACATGGAAGCATGTGGCCTTCAAAGTCATGGCCAGACACAAGGGGAGACACTTTTGAGAACGGAACTCTCTTTAAGGAAGTAGAGCTGGGAGTGAGAGAGAGACAGAGAGAGAAACTGGGCTCTTGATGTATCATTTTGGGAAAATATGGGAAGTTGAGGGCATTAGTGAAAAATATAATTTGCTGGAAGCCTTGCAGCAAGGATGTTAATACTGCAAAGACAGATTAGAAAGAGCTCATTCTATAGCCTTTCTATAGGGAGTAGAAAGCTACTGAAAGTATTTAAGCTGTGATATGAGTGGTGCCGTGGGTGAATTAATCATTAATGGGTGCAAAATAGATTGGAATAGAGAAAGGTTGCACATGGGCAGGCAATGGGGAGTTCATTGCAATAAACTGAAGACTTGAACTAGAGCAACTGCAGCGGGGCTGGAATCAGGAGGGTGTGGACACCAAGACCACAGAGTCAAGAGTTGAGACGAAGAT